CAATTTTTTTATCACAACATGTTAAACGTTATATTTAATACGTTACTTAACCGATGTGAATTTATCTTTTTAAATGTACATAATTTTAAGGTCGAAAAGAAACCCTGCACGAGATGATGGAGGCATGGGTTCGATCGAATGGTCGTTACCAATTTCCAAGACCGGCAACAATGTTAATGGCGCCAAGAAAGAAGAACTTACTCAAGTCATAGCAAAGAGGTTAGTTTAGTCGTGAAACTACCATTGACTTTTTAACGTCAATACTTTTCTCCACTTAGCGTTTTATTATTTAATATTAGTTATTTTCATTTAATTAATCATTTTTCTATATATATATATTAACAGTAACTGTAGGCCATTTAATTTTGATCAAAAAAATCGTTCATTTCTAATGATATTTAAAATTGAATTACTCAAAACATGGAACGTCTCATACAAAATCAGGTTGTTCCAAAAATGTAATCGAATATTTTTCAATTAATCTCACGAAATAATACTCAAACAATAATTTTAGTACACAGAAATACAATTTTTTTATGACAACATGTTAAACGTTATATTTAATACGTTACTTAACTGATGTGAATTTATCTTTTTAAATAATTATAATTTTCAGGATGATGAAAAGTCGTGCAGGAGGCTATAAAGGCATGGATTCGGTCGAATGGTTGTCACCAAATTCCAGGAACATCAACAATGTTTATGGGGCAAAGAAAGAAGAACTTACTCAAGTCATAGCCAAGAGGTTAGTTTTGTCGTGAAACTACTATTGACTCTTTAACGTCAAAACTTGTCTCCACTTATCGGTTTATTATTTAATAGTAGTTATTTTCATGCACTTAATTATTTTTCTATATATATTTACTGTAGGCCATTTCATTATGATAAAAAAAAATCGGTTTTCTACTGATATTTAAAATTGTATTCCTAAAAACATGAAACGACTCATACAAAATCATGTTGTTCCTAAATTGTAATCGAATATTTTTCAATTAATCTCACTAAATAATACATCTATGAAATATTATTAAAAGATTCCGGTTTGTTTAGCGTTAAAATATTAAATATTATAGTAATAACAATTTATAGTTATTTAAGGTATCGTAATTCAAGATGATTTAGTTGTTTAAAAATCATTATAACTTAATGATATTACATTTCTATTATTTTGCATTCATTTTATTTTAAGAGAAAAAATGTTAATTACGATAACTCTTAGATAATTTATCTATATATATTTTTTTTTATTTGTTAAAATAGGGATAAACGGATTTCCAAGTTTAACATTATTGGTGGTTATGGAAACAGTGGTTTGGACCAGTTCAGCACCAGTACAGTTGCAACAACGTCAAAATATATTGACTACGACAAATTGCGCTGGAAATGGATTGCAACAGGGGGAATGAAAAATGAACCCTGTGGCTACTTTAGTTATATTCGGTGCTAGTGAAGATCTCGCTGAACAGTCTGAGCTGGCATTGAGTTTATTGTGATTCTAGTAATCAATTTTATAAAATAATTATTTCTGTATTTTTTTTAAATTAATCATTGAAAATAAAAATAATCAAATTCATAAAATTCTGCTGTTTTTAAAGTATCCTGTTGTTTTGCTCTTTCAATTAATTAATTTAACTTAATCATTTCCTGATGAAGAAGGCAACTTAAAATTTTTCAATTTACATCTTATCAAGTTGTCATTATGTAGTATATTACTTTCCTGTGTTTGCTCTGCAGTAGTTATGATGCTTACTTCTTATTGCGAGGTTCATTTAGATTTCCATTTAGAACCGTTTCCACATCCAACACCCACTTCTAGCTCTCCCTATCCAATGCCACTTCCATATCCAGAAATGGACTGATTTTCTTCATATCTTTCATAACTGTACGTAAAATCTTAGCCTAGGTTTGCCCCTTGGTTTTTTTCCGTTAACTTGTTTTCTTTTGATTTCTTAATCCCATTTTATTATACAACTTCCTCAAGTCACCTGCTCTATCAAGCTATTTACTTGAATGCCTGAACATAATGTCCTCATTTGAAGGGTCCCACATTCAATCACAATGATAAAAGGCATTGCCTCATCACTGGACGTTTGGTAGTCTTTCCATTAGCTAATTTAACATCAGCTGTTCGGACGCCATACTCTTCGTTGTTCTTCATGTGAGTGGTGATGTGGGTTCCTTAATGATGATAAAGTCATCCACTGCGATATTACTGTCTAGTCTTCACCATATATTTCTTGTTTGCAGATCTTGTAAGTATTTCTTTTACCATCGTTCTCAGAAGTGAATTTGGATTTGTTAAACTAGAGTCCAACATTGGGTTAGCTGGAGTGTGGGCTAATGTATTGTATTGTGTATACGGTTTTGGTAAAGAGGCTGGTGAAACCATAGTCAGAAAATACATTGCGGTAAGTGGTGCAAAAGTGGCTGAAGAATGCGTCTAATGGCCTCGAAGTTAGGGTTGCTTCTATTTTGTACATGATAGAATTGGGTTCTTGGTATGTAAGAACTTGATCTTCAACTATTCGATGTAACAACTCTTTAGAAAACTTGACTACTGCACAATTTTTGCAACGCTGGACTCGATTTCTCTTGTGGCGATTTTTTTAAGTTTATTGTAATTCAAAAACGAAATACTGTAGACATTTAGAATTTACACCAAATGTTTATTTCATCAATTTATATAATTGATAAAAATTTTTAAAATATTTTGACTCATTTTAAGCTATTGATGGACATATTCAATTTTCATTTTTTTTTTAAATGTCAAAAAAATTGTATTAGTCGTGTCAAAAAGCATGGCAATTGAATACAAGACATTTGATAACTTGTCACATGCAATAGCAGTTGAAAAATATTGAAAATACATATGCATTTTTTTTTGTAATAAATATTTAAAGTTCAAATTTAGACAATATTTATCAAATTGAAAATCGAAAATGATTTTGTGGTTAAAAATGTATAAGATTTTCAATTTTTTTAGGTAAGGATTGAAAATTGAAAAAATGGTTCCACTTAAGTAGTTTTTTCTGTAACTAAGACATTTAAAAAATATATGAATACAGTTATTTTTTACAGACATTTTCAATTCAACTTCAAATGTTGACAAAATTGCATATTAACACAAAGAATAACGTTTATGATTTTGTTGTAATTCGGTTCCAAAACAGCCCGATTTCACATAATTATATTTAATATTTTTCCATCATCACTAATAATTTAAGAATAATATTACTTCAACTTAACGGATACCATATTAATGATAAGTAATATACTAATAACAATATAAAATTTCCTAAACTGGCATACCGTCTCCGCTCAGAATCGTTTTTCGTATACAATGATTTGATATCATTGAATTCAAATTTAATAAGATCCATTACAGTGACCTCTTAGAAACCTAATTTACAGAAGAGTGACATCCACTAACCCACTTTTTTCTACTTAAATTTGCCAAATCGTGTTTCAATTGTTTTCGTCGAATGAACATTTTAGAGCGTTATTTTTTACTAGTTATAATTACTCATTTTAACACAAAAAAGCAACAACTTAAGGTGAGTTAATTTGTAGAACAATTTGATATAGGTACTAGGACTAAATCACGAATAATACTCGTATTCTATTCGTAGTTGTGTATATTATAATTTTATATTAATTTTCAGCCTTTTTCGAATGAATTATGAAATTATATGATATTATTATTGTATTAACAATATATATTACACCATTTATACTGCTATATTATGTAGATCTATGAGTTCTAATTAATTTCTTATCGCCCGTATTTATAATTATACTTAGTCACCAGCTTGGTGTATAGATTCACTGAGATAGTGAGATTCTTCAAACTTTGGAAATCGATAGTATGTATATACCGACACGTGGGCATACAACACTTTAATTTGCGATTAATAATGTTCCATATCCCATGTGGCTATGAAAGACCCAAAAAGCAAGATAAAAATTCACCCAGTACCTACCAACACCTCGATTCTAATTTTGAAAACTTAATGTCAAACGACAATGTCGTTGAAATTACTTGTAGAAGTCATTCCTGTTGACGTCATGGGTAGTTAAAAAACAAAAATTTAGGAGGTGATAACGATTTTTGATAAGTCTTAGAGGTCTTGTTTCGAGGAATGTTTGGAATTCCAGTTTCAGTGTCTAGAAATCTCACTTCACCCACGAAAATCGGTAATTGAATAATAAGGTTCCCCGTCACATGTCCGGTGCTTTTTCGTATGTAAAAAATATAAATTCGAAATCTGCGTTGGAAGTCCATCACCTCAAGCGAAAATCGTTTAACACTCTGCAACCTAGGTAAGCAATCCGACTTCGTCGGATCGCAGACAATGTCCTACACTCCTACAGCTAATCAGGAAAGTAATCCAACTGAGGTGAATTTTTAAAATTTTTTTTTTATCATGATAATTTTACAACTCGTTTTGATCACTATTGTTTATACAAATATAATCTATGTTACACTTCTAAATTTGTTTAGAATCTTAGTTTTGTAATTTATCTATTTAGATGTTATTTTTTGTATACATGCACTTCATTTGATTTATTTTGTGTTTTTCATAAGGTAAATTGAAATTGTATAAAAATGTTTTTTGACTAGAATTGAGAAATCTTAACATTTTCATTTCATGAGATATTCTATATAGCCCGAATTGTGGGCCCACCAGACAGTATTATACATTTACTACTAATTATCGGTTGTATCTGATCAGTCAAGTTTTTTTTTAAATTTATTATTAAACCCTGAATAATTATTATGCATTTTTCAATTTTTAACAAGGAAAAAAATTGTTTTTTTGTTGCTATTTTCATATCTTAAGGCACATTATATTATTATCATAGTTCTTATTTTCATAATTTTATAATTCATTATTAAACCCTGAATAATTATTATTTATTTTTTCAATTTTTTACAAAGAAAAAAATTGTTTTTTTGTTGCTATTTTCATATCTTAAGGTGTATTATATTATTATCAGGTTATTTAGGTCATAATAGTGCATATTATTTTAGTAGTTTCAAGTGCAGCTATAAAATCTGAGTAAAAATTGAAACGTCGTCGTTATAACACATTCTCCATCCGACGCCTAACAACCAATTTCTTGTAAAATGGATATTTGATTTTTCTGAATAAAAAAGGATTCAATTTAATATTTTTAATTTTGAGTTGTATCCTGCAATATCCTAGGTGATTTTTAAATGAGATTTTATAATTTAATCCATTTGTATGATATAATTTAATTCTGTTATGGATTTCTAATATAAATCAGTATTTGAGCAACATAGTAATCCAACCGACTACCATTTTAAATTTAATTCATCGATATGATTACAAATAATATTGAAGTATGGTACTCTATCACACCAACAGAGTCTGTATTTGTTTTTTATTAAGGATATATAGCAGGGATGGCGAACCTTTTTGTACCAGCGTGTCAAATAAAAATATTGGTTAGATTTTGTTTTCCCAGCGTGTCAACTACTTTGGTAACCCTTCAATTTTTTTTTCAAAACTTTAATATTATCAAACTTTTACACATTTGTGTGTGTCACTAAGATAGTGTGCGCGTGTCACAGAGTGACACGCGTGTCATAGGTTCGCCATCTCTGATATATAGACTCCACACAACAAACTGATTACATTTACCAAGTTGTGTATAAAGTATATTATAGGAATGTTAACAATTAAATATTAATTTTAACTATTCTAATAATAGCGAGTGGGTTGATACTTATGTATAATAAATTGTAATCCCAATACGACAAGGTTTATTTAAATGTTTGATTCCAATATATTTTCTAGTAACTAATATTATGATAATATTACGCCTCCCGTAGCGGGTGCTGATGAACTGATGCCTGCGGGCAACAGTCAGTGACCGTCACGACTCGCGTTCACTCGTTCGCGATTGCGCAATCCTATCGTCGAATACTGATGATAATATGGCTTACTCGTCGTTGTAAACGACGGCGACCGTGACGAATACGATAACAATAATCAAGGTGGATTAATTAACAATATTAATCCATTGAAATAAAAGCAATATAATAAAAAAAAAATGTATGCCGTGGTCGAATTTTTGATGGCACCGCGGTGTTTTCATTGAACCAAAAGATCATAGAATCATATCAATAATGGTAGTGATAACAGACGTCTAATCAACGCGTTCCGTCCATCTCCCGAACTTTCGCGGAATTCGACAATAATAATTGTTGGAAAAGTGATAGTCTGTCTGCCGTTCGTGATCCGAAAAACTCTAGTTGTCTCGTTTCAAGCATTGTAGCACGGGCGCACGGCCCTACGAAGCACGCACATGAAGTCTCCCTAGCCGCCGAGAACTAGCTTGTCGCCTGGACCGGTGGACTTGACCACCGATGCTCAGAGTGAGGTACGTAATTAAAACGAAATACCTATTGTGATATTATTGTCGGCCCTTTGTGTCCAACCGAGGGACGCTGAAACAATTGTCCCTGTATGTAATGTATTGCTGATCGCTTGTTTTCCTCACTAATCAGTGTGTGAATGTATTAGTTGCATTATCAGTTTATAACAAACACAATTATTGTTTGCTGCAGCCCCCGTTCCATATGATTGCTACGCCGACATGGCCGAACATGGCACCGTTGATACAAACTCTAAACAGGACAAGCCCGCCGATGAAATGCTTTCAGATTGGATCCAGTGCATTTGTGTCGTCACCTTTGACCTAGAGTTTGGCCAGGCGATGGAGGTACTATTGCGGCTTTCCGTGCGCACGTCTTCCCGGCTGGCTATTTTGTAATACCTATCTGTTTTTTTTCTTCATAGTTGGTCTACCCCAACAACGTGAAATTATCCGAGGAGGACAAAACAAACCTCTGCTACCTTGCTTTTCCCGACTCCAATTCCGGATGCATGGGAGACACTCAATTCCATGTCAAGATTAAGTGTTCTCAACCTTCGAATCTCAGTCAACGCCATATAAACTATAATGCAAAATGTCCAGTTTTCTTACAAGTTGACCATCGTTGTTTGTATGGGTTTGTTTTCTTTCGACAAATCAAAGATCTGTCTCTTCCACGGGGTTATTTTCAAAAAGTATGTTTAACCGTTTGTTTTCTATAATACACTAACTTCTTATGAGATTAAAATACAGTATGACATTATCAGAAAATGTACTGATTTAGAGATGAATTTTCATTATTTACAGGTAAAAAATTCTATTTGTGTAAATTACTAATAAAATATTAGTACACCTCTGAATAACTTAAATAACTTAGTGAATAGTGTTTGAATTTTATTCTGGAATTTTAACAATGTACATATTTTTAATATAAAATATATTACATCATAATGGTATATTATGTTTGTAGGTCACTAATAATGTACATAAGATGATGCATTGATTGTTAGGTTATCTCTATACATCATATGTAAAGTAGTAGTAGCACAACATACCACATTTATTTTACATTACATAGTTTATATCATACATTTCTAAAGCAAAAATTGATTTGGTCATTATAATATATAATGGATCTATCTTATGAAAAGTTTTAATTTCTGATAGTAAAAATTATAAATCAATGTTTGGCTTCCTTGTTGTTGAAAGTACAAATAAAGCAACATAACATTTTTCTTTCAAAAATCATCTTTAACAGTTTGCTCAAAATGTTCAATTACTAACCATAGTTTTGTTGATCTTTTATTATGTATAGAATTAATTATACATTTCATCATTTGAACTCTAATATATATTGGTAATCTTATGCTTGGGGGGGAGCGGTGCATAAAAAATGTATTGTAACTAAATTAAATATTCCAATCGTTGACCACTAAATCATGTTAATGAACCATTCATTAGGCCACTATTGATTCATTTAATGTTTTGTGTTTCTTCATGCAACCCATAATTAATGTTAATTATCATGGTATGATCGTCATTTAAAATACAGTTCAAATGTTTAAAAAAATACATTTTCATTACGTTTTTAATCTTTTACATCTTTTTAGTTGTACCTAGTTGAATTAGGTGTATATTAATTATTTTTAGGAACATTATGTACTGACAAATCGTGATACTAAAATAATATTAATTGGATGTAGAAATATTTCAATGTTCGTTCTAAAAAAAAGCTGGTTGTTAACCTGACCACTTGGAAATCATATTAAAAGTAATAAGTAGTTACCAATATGGCATGCTTTTTGTTGTTTTGACCATAACATTCATTATTCATAAAGAATTACCATTAGTATTACATATATAAAATATTATAAAAGAACAGGTTCCCGCATGTGTTTATCTTATACACGTATGACATGCTAAATTATTGTTTACCAGTTTCAATTATTAGAGAGGGCATGACATAGGCTCTTATGGATATTATTTTTAAGTAAGTAAGTTATGACCTTTTTGAAACTGTTCAATTGTTATACATTTTCAAATGATCAAAACTTACTTAAACATAATATCAACAAGAGCCAGCGCTATGCCCTAAATAATTATCTTACCTTTAAATTCTATAATATGTCAATTCACCTCAAATTATAAAAATAACATAGTAAAATGAATAATTGTTAACTTCAAATTTTTTCATGTTGTATGCTTGTAAAATGAGGACAACACAAGCAGGTGCCACATCCTATCAAAGAAAATATGATTATAAGAAGTTAGAATGAATTGTTTGATATTGATTTAGGACATGTTTTGAAAATGTAAAAAGTAATCTCTAGATTATAATTTCCATAAATAAATAATTTTAATTAAAAAATATTGGAATTACATCAATTATAAATTTAAGGTTTTTATTTATCATTTTTAAAACATTAAAATAAATCAAATCTTTGACAACATTAAGCACTTGAAAATTTTTCTGTCCAGAAATGCTATGTCTAAAATTATTTAGAAATATTAACATATTAGTATAGATACATTCCGTATTAATGTTCTCATTAGTATATTTATTTGGTTTTACTTTCCAATATGTCTAAAATATCTTCCAATATTCTAACATTTTAAGTTTTCTTAAATTCTGGCATTATGCTATATACTTTTGATGTAATATTATTAAGAACAATGTGTGTAATTACTTTTTCTTTTTCATAATCCATTCCTATGTTTATATTATATGTCACTACTCACTAAAATTACTTTTTATGACTATTCAGTATTCATCGTCATTCACGTAAGGGAAAATATGGGGGATAGACATAAATAATTTTTTGGAATCAGATTTCTAATAAATTTTGGCATGTATAGCATTGTTAAATTATAATAAAAAGTTTTAAGTAGTTAGATTTAAGTATTTCTGTAAAAATTAAAACTAATATTTCAATTTCTCAGAAATGATTACTTGTCGGTTATCACATAAAATACAAACAATTTAAAAAAAAGCATAAAAATAAATAAATTAAAATTTACCTACAAATTACATTATAATATTGTCAAAATGTCATATTAACTTTTTAATTAGTTAATGCAAACTACAATATTTAACAACTGACTTTTAGTGCAAATTACCAACTTTATGTCTATTGTTCCTATGCAATGTGTACACTCTACTGTAACTATTGACTTTTTTTTTATAACAATATTTAAATCAATTTGATACTAGATAAAATTAAATGAGTACTATATAGTTTTAATGATTGATAAAAAACTGCATTCATGCAGCAGACAATCTACTACAACGTTTGAATAATACAATTAAATTTTTAGGTTTTTAGTTAATAAATATAAAAATAATGATAAATTACAGTTATACAATTTAAGCACAAAGCACTATTTTCGAGTCCATTAAAAATTGGATAAATATAATATCTTTATTATTGTATACTGAACCCACCATCACATTTCAAAAGAAATGTGTTTGTCAATATTGAAAAATATTTATAAAATATGATTGATAACAAACTAAACTTAAAGTTTTAACATAAATCACCAGCTACACTTTAATAAATGGTAGATCACCTATTACATAAATGTAAAAAAAAAACAATTTTAGGATTTGAAAATACTAAATTTAATAATTGTATTTATATTTTTTTATTTAGAGTGTAATTATACTATCTCAGTTGCCATTCATTAGTTTATTTACTGAAGTTTGTGGGACAATAGCACCTGAGTATTTCAAGCACGGAATTACTGGAATAGAAGTAGCATGGCATGATATCAAACAGTGGCCAGATTTATATGCTGGAGAAACAGTTAGCTTGCCATTACTGGGAATTGTTCTTCAAGTTTGTGAAGCAACATAATCAAATGATAACATAAGATATTGTATTTATAGTTGAACTATTTTGTTTATAGGCTCAACTGGTATGTGATAATAATAAAATCTGCAGCTCATCAAACTCAATGGTACCTGATTACCAGTTACCCGTAGTTGTATCATCATTATACGAACTGAATACATTTGGATGTTTTTCATCGATTGTATCTCAAATGCATCTTTTATGGGAATTAGTGTTAACGACTGAACCCATTGTTGTGATGGCCTCATCACCTACCTACAGTTCTCAAGTTGTTCAAGCATTGGTTAGGTAAAATGTATTTATTTAACTAAATTAGTATACAGTAAAGTCTTGCTTATCCGGACATGATGAGACTGGACTCTATCCGGATTAAACAGAAAGACGTTTAAACTTTCTCTAAAAAGAGCGTTTAGGCGTGTCGCGTGTAGGGTATTTTACGGTAAAATTACCTTTGTATCAATTATCAATAATATATGTATAGATAACAATTAATGTTAACAAATAGTTTATAAATATATATATATATATTTTGTATAGTTTATATAACTACATATATTACATAGTATAAATAATTGATTGTCCGAATTAACCAGATGTCCGGACTAGAGAATACTGGATTAGAGAGACTCTACTGTAATAAAAATCTAAAATGGTAGTTTATAAGTTATAAGCTACCATTTTAGATTTTCAATGATACATTATATTTTATTTTTAATTATTAGCTTAATTGTGCCATTGGCTTATTATGGAGATTATCGTCCATATTTTACAATACACGATAATGAGTTCAAAGAGTACATGAGCAAGACACTGAATCCGCCACCTATAATACTCGGTGTAACAAATCCTTATTTCACAAAAACATTACAACATTGGCCACATATTGTTAGAGTTACTGATACATTAAAAAAAGGTAAACTTATGATATTATGGTTATAAAAAAATTAATTTTTTTAATTATTATTTTAGATTATGTATTAATTTTATAATGAAGAATTTTTTTAATATAATGTTCACAAATTAAAGTAGAAAAAATATGATTTTAAAACTTGTGGCGAGGGGGAGTAAAAGGGTTGTAGAAAATCAGATCCAGTTGGTACTTTTAAGAGATCTAAATAGAAAATTGTCAGGAATTTTCAAAATAATTGGAAAAAACAAAAAAAAAAATTAAAGTAAAAACGGAATTTTTCTCAAAACAGGTTTTTCACAACATCGATTTTGTTTTTCTTCTGTTGTAACTAAAAAGATAACTAAATGTTTATTATCATTTTCTATTCTCATATAAATTTTAAAAATATGTTGAAGCTTTTTAAGCTATATATAGGCATTTGATTTATTTTATTATGGAAACTCACATTAATTGTGTATAAGCTTTTGCCGTTTATACGACTTTGGATATTCATCCATAAATGAATTATTTCTTATTTAACTAATTCTTATTTTGCTGTACTATAGGTCCCTGAAATTTTCACCAACATTTACATTTTCTACTCGTTGCATAATTTTATGAATATTTTGACTCTTTTTGAGCTATATAGACAATAGACATTCAAAATTTTTATCACATTGCAGATTAATATTAATTTAATATAATTTATTATTATTATTAGTCGGCAATATAACCGACTATCGCCGTTCCCCACCACCCTATTGTTGATAATTTAATATATTTACTACATAAAAATATGTTTTGTAAGGTGAAAAATAAGATTGAGGGCCACGGATTAGACCACCCTGTGTTATTGTATTTATTAAACACACACAATGGCATTTTTAAATGAAATGTTTTTTACGAAAATTAATTCAACTTACCTTATCAATGCTAATAAAATTAATTATTTTAATAAAAATTTAAATCTATCAAAAAATTACTTAGTTATATTGGCAGATAACCCATTTCGTTTTTCGTATGCACTGTTTTAGCATTGAATTAGAATTTAACCCATCCATTAAAGAGACTTACTCAATGATATGGTACACTCAACATTACTGTCCAACAGATTGATTATCTTCTTGCCCCATTTTTATAATTTATATTAACATAGCTCCAAAAGTTACTTAATCTTTTAAACTAATTTGAGTTAACAGTTAAAAATGTTTTTGCTCTATAACAATTTTTGTTGTAATTGTTGAGTTTATTTAACAAGATCAGATGGCGAAATATTTTATACTTCAGTACTTCAGTAATAAAATTACCTTTAAATAATTATTAAAACAAAAATAATTCAGTGGTATTATTTTTTAATTTTTAATTATGTAACTTATTTTGAAAAATGAAGCATACAATTATTTGTATTGTGGTAAAAAAATTTTTAAAACATTTTGAAGTTGAAAATTATTCTATATTTACTATATTGTCATTTACTATTGACCATATTCTTGTAAAATATTTTTACTCAATCAAACTTTAGAATTTTTTGATTATGCCTAAATGTTATATACAATATTACCTATATCTAAAACTTTTCTTTTGTGGACATGACTTTTTCACCATCTAAAACCGGATTTTTCCCATGTTAACTGGTCATAAAGTATAGCAACAAATACTTTTAAAAAATGTAATAATTTATTTTTTACATTGTTGATCTAAAATACAAAAAAAAAAATTTATCATAATAACTATCTCATATTGAATTTAAAATAATAAAAACTAATTTGCATTGCTTGTTTTTTTTATGTATATTTAATTTGATAATTTTTACTTCAAAGGGAAGGGTTCTTTCATATTTTAAATGTATTTGAATTTATATGTCAAATGTACTGAATTGGTTGTGTTTTTTTTTTTTTTTTAGACACCACAAATAAAAGTAAATTAAGAAAAGGATCTAATCTTAAAATCTTAGATGCTAAACCTGGAGTTTATACAGAGTATAAACCCTATTTGTATAAAGATAAATCAATAGTCAAAAAACTTCTCAGAGGAATGCAAAACAAGCGCCCAGAAGAAGTGCAATCAGCACTATTGCGAAGACACTTTTTAGAACTCACCCATAGTTTTATGATACCACTTGAGCGATATATGTCATCATTAATGCCCTTACAAAGAAATATTTCTCCCTTTAAGGTATGAAAATTGGCTTATGTGGTAATGACAAACACATGAAATTTATTTATTTAATGTATTTTATAGGCGGCTCCTAAACCCTGGCCTTTTAATCCAGACAACTTTTTGGCTAGTTTAGAATACGCTGGGCCTCAACTGACATGTGGTATTAAAGGAGACTGGAAGGGGCTTTACAAGCAATTTTTCAGATCTCCAAATTTCAATGGTTGGTACAATGTTCGTTACAAAGGAATGATGATGAAGCTTCAAGTTTTGCAAATCGAAGCACTATCTAGTGTGGTAAAAAAATAACCATTATCATTATGCTACACTTAGATTATTGTTAATTTAGTATAAGTAAACATTTTATAATTTATTTATACATTTTAGGATTTTAACAATTGGCTTGAAGGAAAACAAGAAGTAGAAATTGTTGACATGATACTAAAAATTCGGCAGAAACTGGATGAATGTGAAAGCAAAGGGTACCAGTTAAATAAAAGAATCAAAGATCAATTAAAAGTGAAAATGGATGATATAATTTGTTCATTGCCAGATGATTTAAAAAATGTCTTGTCAAGTAAAAAGCCATCTACCAGATGATACACTTCCATGTATAGATATAGATGAAGAGTAATTTTAATAATTTAGATAATATCAATGCCATCTCACTAATTGTGTCTGTATTTGTCCTCACATGGATGTATACACTGATCATCAGTTTCAAAATTGATACTATTATTATTCCATAGTTATATATTTTTACAAACATGTTACAGTTTAATACATTTTTAAGTATTCAGAAATTGTCTAAATATCTATCACTGACATTTATTAAATATGAATTCCTAATTTTACATTTTTTGTTGAAATCAAGTACAGATATTTTAGAATAAACAATATTCGTACTGCCTTAAATTTTTATAATATTTACTTTAAGTTACTTCCAGGAAAGAAGCTGATTAATTTATGTTTATATAATATTATATTGTTATGGTTTATGTCATAAATGTTGCCCATGAATATAAATTTATATTATATGAAAAACTTAGTGTTATAATTAGTTAAGTTGTTAATTTTGGAGTAAAAGAAATTTTTGCCGTATATATTATGCGTTAAATTATTTACATATTGAGAATTTACTTTCTGTATAAAAATTCAAATAATATATGTATTGCTTAATTGTTATAATATGTCACTGCCTCCCCGGATACTACACTCCCCCATAATACTAAAAAGAAAATAAAGATTGATCCTCTGAGTCTTAAAATTTTAATAACGGAGACCAACAAATTTTGCTATTTTTTAGCAGATTTCGCAAGAATCTTTTAAGCAATTAATATAATGAAAACTGAATACTAGAATGAATTAATAGCCCACTGGTAATAGGTTGGTTGGAAGTTAAGTTAGTGATAGGTAGGATATTGTTTCAAATAGTATATAATATACAATTTTAACTTAACCTAGTCCTAAAGATTTATTTATCCCCATCCATATATTTAAAAACTATTACTAACTGAAAATGTATTCCATTTTAAAATAAGTTAAATTAAGCAAAATAATAAAAAAGTAAGATGGTTATTTTAACAATGTATACTTTTCTTCCATTATACACCATTCAATTAATAATAAAAATAAAAGCTAGATACCGTAATTGTATATACATTTTCATATAATATAACAGACCATAGCTGTGCAACTACCTATGGTAATGCCAGAGCTTCAAAACGTTAAAATTGAAATAAATGAAAAAGGAAAATAATTTATTACAATTTAATATAACATATCATTAAACGCAATTAAAGATCAACAATGAACAATAAACTTACATATAGCATACAAAAAATGACATTGGAATTATTTGAAAAAACATATGTGCTTTTTATTTAACATTGAAAACATTTGCTAAAAGTTGTAGAATGATTAAATATAATCTAACCTCTCCAACAAATTTAAAACATTTTTTAATTCTTGCATAACATTATGGATAATAGGTATTCCATTATTTTAATATTTTTTATATCAATCAAAGAAATAAAATGGGTTCATGTTTTCATGTATTTGTATTTTTTGAACTAAGCATTGGTATAAAGGTTCACACTCGGTTAGTAACATTACTATCCGTAGACAAAAATTAACAAGAAATATATGTACCTACAGTTATTGTATTGGATGAATGCCCCAGCTCACAAAACACAAATTCGGTTTTTAATAGACATCTTTTTTCTTTCCTTTTATTCAGATTCCTTTACACACAGTTGTGATTTTTTAGGAATCATTTTCCAAATTTCTACCACCATGCTTACATTATAAAAAAAAATACATTGATTAAAAAGTGATCCATAAAAATATATGCTGTCATATGTTATGGCCTCTTACTGAGATGTCACCTACTTTAAAACTGTGTATATCCAAAAATACATAAATTTCAGGATTACAATCATTAACAAAATAGAAAAAGAAAGAAACAGATAAAAATAATAATTATTTAATACTTTTAGTTACTCAATAATAAATTTAAATATTATATAATATATGATATAAATCAGTATATTTGTATAAATTTATATTTTTTTTACTCTGTCATAATATAGGAAGAATATTTAACGTTTATTACTAAATAATATGTATTGTATAGGATTTAAAATAATATTTTTGTGTTTGAATATTTTCTTAAAAATAAAATTTTGATTTTAAAACTTGTGAAATAAAAACTAAAAAATATTTTTTATGCATAACCTATAGAAAAGAAAATGTAATAAATTAATTTATTACAATAAAATTGCAATAAAGCTTATTACATTTAAACAGTTACCTACCTATCGGACATTGGAAAGTAGGTTCATAATACATGGTTACTAACCTTCCACTTATTGGTTTAAAACCACAAAAATAGGGAGCTTTAACATCATTGACAATTGATAGTTAAAAAGTTGATTCTCATTTAACAAAAATAAATTTAGATCACCAAAGCTCACAAGATACTCCTCAAATGGTATAAAATGTCTTAAGTATTTAAAAATAGGTACGTTATAGTAGACGATAAACAATGCCAAAATTAATATGTGTTTAGGAACTTAAAAATCTACATAAAAATTGATTGTAACAGCATATTGTTCATCGGTTTGTCAATAATTGGTAGTCTGCTGGTAGTACACATATTATACTGTACGATATTATTAGGTAGGTAGGTAAGTACTGAAGATACAACACAAATAATTAATAATTCAACACATGATGAATCAACGAGTACCTATAATAAGGCTGTAATAAACCTATACAATATTATTACCTATGTAATAATATTGAAACCAATACTATTATAATTTTATTTGCAAATACTCAAATGACAGTAATGATCCTTAGTCCGACCATTCTGACACATCAATATTTTGATAAATAGTATAGGTACCTACATAAGATTACATAACTTAATGATATTAAGTTAATATGTACCTACTTAAGTTGTTATTTAAATAAGGTAACATTCGTGTATAATAATAATATGTTTTTTTCATATCCTATGACCTATACAGTTAAATTAAAATTTATATTGCTATGTATTATTATACCTAATAATATACCTACAGGTATATGATGTAATAATAATATTTCTATAATAGGTAGTATTGCATATTGGCTATAACTTTCAAATACCTAATAGTTAAAACTCTGCTGATAGCCATTCGATGTAAAAATCACGTTGTAGGTATATAATATTATAAATAAATAACAATATACATATAAACAACGGAATATTGCATAAATGTTCATTAAAAATATCTTTCACCGCGGTAGGTATGGCATAAATGCATAATACTGTTGTAGTAAAAACATGTTCACGTTGATCTCATAATATTATTGGGAATGATTAAGTCTTTACTTTAAAATGTTTCTAATAAGTAATAATGCAATAGTATTTACAAGTTTGATATTGTTTACATCATAATTACAAGTACGTATTCTTTATTTTACGTTAATTTATCCGTATGGCTAATGGCTATACATATGTAGGTAGGTATTATAGTTACTTAAATAATATTATATTATATTATGTATAGATAGGTGTAAGCCGTATAGATATTAGTAAGTACGGTAATGATAATTAATTAAATTTATATTTTTATATTTATATTCATTTGAATATGATTATTGGCATAACGACGATGTTCTCGGTTCTGCTGCTGTGGCAGGTTCAACGCGTCGTGTTAAGTTGCATACAGACTAGGCATATATTTAACTTGTAGATAAATATAACACTATAATTTAGCCATGTATGTGACGGCTTACCATGCTAGTTATTAGGTACTTGTAACCTAAAGCCATAATGTATTAAATAAATTCACAGAGCACGACACAGGTAGGTAGGTACCTACTAAATGGTGTTGTGTGAACCGAGTAACCGACCAACAAGACTTTATCGGGGGGATCATTTCAGTTTTCTTATGGTGTGTAGGCCAGTGGTTCCCAAACTTTTACGACCACGGCACCTTTAAAAAATTGTTTGTGTTTATAGGGGAAGACTAATGTCTAATCCAATTCAACTACAATTTTTCTAAATAAAAAAAGGAAAACCAATTCTCTAAACTCTCAAGTCTAAGTAATATTTTAACGATACTGTTAATGACTTTTCAGTTTTCATTATTAAACTTAGTTTTAAAAAAAAATTTCAACCAAAAAATTTTTTTTTTAAATAACAAACATTAAATAAACATAATTTTCTCAATAATCACATACACCTGGCATAACCCTTGACATTGGTCCCACGGAACACACTTTAGGAAACTCAGGTATAGGCAAAGGGGCAATTAAAAAGTTAATTTTTTTTAAACTATTTAAAATCTGAAAGTTTTTTAATAAAACTTTAAATTATACAGAATTGTATGTAGGTATAAAGAATTTTAACTATAAAGATGAATAAATATGATAGTGATTATCCACATGATATACATTGTCATATAGTATTTGTCAGACATTTCGGAGCCACTACTGTACGTTATGATAAAAAATTCAATAAAATTGATTGTTATAATTTAGGAAATTAGATCTTTTTCAAGAACGCAGTCACTTTTTATGTGATACCTCCATACTAATTTACAAAAATTAGACTAGGTAACTTAATATTTTTTCCATATTAACTCTCAACTTATCGAGTTAAATTAATTACTCCTTAACTGTTAACTTTTAACTTATCGATCTAGTGTTCTTAACTTAAACTTAACTTGAGTTAATTATTTTCATTAATTGTGTATGTGTGTGTGTGTGTGTGTGTGTGTGTGTGTGTGTGACATACCACAACCACATACTATATCTGTATAGAATTTCAAAAACTGTAGAATATTTTTGTAATTTATTTAATACGAGTATAATAATATATTATTAATTAGGTCACTTATATCGATAGGAATGGAAATATCACCATTATTACTATTTTTGTTGTTAACTCTCTGCCCCACGAGCACCGAATCGCATTTACACAGATCATTTTTTTTATGTTTTTGAGTAATCTTAGAGTAAAATTACTCATTAGTCATTACAAAATCGATATACTTATATTATAATAATATTTTTGAGGGTATGACATATCGATGTGTCAAAATATTGTTTCAAAACAATTTAAGCATCATTT